TTCGCTGTGTGTCTTTATTCTAGTACTTTGCAGCTGCTGCTTTCCCCGCATCCCAGTGCCTGGAACGTTATATTACTCAGTAAATGACTGAAAGAATGGGTAGAAATTTTAAAAATGAAATTCACCTGTAAAGCTACCATTTCATACATAACTCTATTGACATTTTTTGTGTGCTTCTGTCCAGTCTTTTGCAGTTTTTCTTGAGCATTGTAGTGTTTTTCTTCATGTGACATTAAAATGTATATTACCCTTTTTTCCCAATATCTATCATATTCTACTAAGTAGGTACTGGATTTAATTATCCATTGTTGCACGTTTAAGTTGTTTGAAATTAATTTTTTTCAATTACTGAATCCTTACCTGGTCCCTGCCTTCACAGCATTCATTGTTTAATAGGGGAGATAGTCAAGTAAATAGTCCATTACAGTGGAGTGCAAAATACTCCAATGGGAAGTTGAGAATGATGTGATAGAGGAAGGACCACCAGTATCAGGATGACGTCTCAGCAGAGGTATCATCTAAGTGATACGGATCGAAATATGTAAAGAAATGTTTCTATGCTTATGCTTTTTTTGTTCTTTTCAGTTATTTCTTTAGATCTGTCTTTAAGAATTGGTATTATTGAGGTCAAAACAAACTTTCTTTTGATAAAAATGACTCTATCCCTATAGAGAGGATTTTTATGCATTTTTTTAAGTCGTAGTTCTCTTTTCCTTGGGTTTTGTGAAATCACAAAATTGTTCTAAATCACAAAATTGTTCTGTAAACTGAAAGAACCTATCTAATGAAAATGTTTGGTGAAAAGAAATTTGGAGAATAGCGTAAAATATCTTTCTAGAGGGCTAATTATAATCATCTCATTTTTTCTTGGAAATTTCTCATTTGACTGCACTTTGATGACATTGTATCTTTTTTATCTTCTTCCGTTTCAGCCATGCCTTTCTTTGATATACAGAAAAGGCTGGATGTTAACTTAGACCGCTGGATGACAATCCAGAGCGCTGAGCAGCCTCACAAGCTTTCATCTCGGTGCCATGCTTTTGAAAAAGACTGGATAGAATGTTCACATGGAATTGGTACTATCCGCGCTGAGAAAGAGTGCAAGATAGAGTATGAGGATTTTGTAGAATGTCTGCTTCGGCAGAAAACGGTGAGGAAGTGATGGAGATGGGAACTAAATTACTTCCATATTTCTTTGGGGCTACTTTTCAGTGTTTTTAATTGGTCATTGGGCAGCAACTTGCCCATTGTGAATTAGCGAGACTTGTGGTAAAACACCTCTACTTAGGTACCACGTCAAAGAAGTTAAATGCCTTTAGTTCCAAGGAGGACCTGTTGTTCCTCAGTGTTCTTCCTCATCTTCTCACATATTTTCCTTAGCACTGTACCTTGCTTTAGCCATCAGTTTAGAAATTACGTACGTGCATCTGTTTCTATTTTTGCAGTAGGCCATAAAGCAAAAAAATATCAACAGCCTTGGATGTTTGTCCTTGAAAATCTTTGGGTAAAAATCTTTCAAATTCATTGAACCCTCTTTGAGGAAGAGTTTAAAACCCTGCAGATCTATTTGCATTGAACCTGATATAACAGTCTCATTTATGAATGAGATTTGATTGCTTTAGGTGAGCCTAACCAAAACTGCAGGGGGGAAAAGGATGTTAACAGCATGATGCCTACCTCTTCAAGAGTTGAATGAGTTGCCTAACATATGGGGTCCTAGTCTCCCTTAGAGAAGAAATTTTTGGGTGTGGGGTGTCATTTTGCCTATTTCTGTGCACCAGATAAAACAAACAGAAATATTTTTTTACTCCTAATTCCTTGGAGTTCAGGGAGACAATTTAGATTATCAGTTAAATTTATCACAAAGTTATCTGTATTAAATTTTTAAATTTCTTATCTTTTAACATCTGCTATTGGCATTTAGATAAAGTAAAGCCAAACTTGGAAGGAATGAGAGGGTGCCAGGTAATAATTTGTATTGATCTCTACAGAAATATTGACCATTAAGTGAATAATATGGTATAATGTATGTCGGAAGTCATGGTTGGCCACTTACCAGCTGTTTAGTTCACAACATATCTTAACTTCTCTTCCTGTGAGCCTGTTATTCCATGCTCAGATTAAGACTTTATTCATAATGGAAAATTCACACCAAGAGGAGGCAGTGTGGTGAGGTGGAAGGATCATTGGATTGGGAGTTAGGAGAGCTGGGTTTTGATGCCAGTTCTGGCACTACTAGTTTGGTGACTTTGGGCAAGTCACTTCTTCATCTTGGTTTCTTTATTCAGTAATATTAAAGAGTTGCTCCAAGATCCCTTCCTCATCCTGTGAATTTGTGAATAAAAATGTTATGTTTTAGAGGTCACTCTAAATGACTAGATAATTCCCCCTAAGGTGAGGAAGCTAATGAAATCGGGGAATTAGAATCAATCCCTGCTGTAAGAGCCTAGCATGTAATAATGTATTTATTTCTCACAACAATCCTGTGAGATGCTTTACTATTATTTTCCCCACTATACAATTAAAA